AAGACAACTAGCACTTGCATGCCACCCCATAATAGACCATGTGTGTTTAATTAAGGTGACTTGCCCAAGTTCTTACAGTATTCTAGAAATGATTCAAAGTCTAAAATTGCTTCCAATCTCTTATTTCATCTGAAGGACAGTATAAGATACGGCAGTTAGCCGTGAGAGGTAAGAAGCGGACTGCTTAGTGAGGTGTCTACAGTCTATATCCCCAAAATGGGTTTAGGAGAAAGTTTTATCACTGAGATGATGTCAGTTTGTAGCAATCTCAATTTCTGCTCTATAACAGGCATATATGTTCTTTGGGCTTTTACTGTGGTTTTTATAGCTTGACTTCACTCTGCTGCCTGCTATTAAAATGCATAGTTAAAATGTATAAATTCCATAGATTACCATAGAAATAAGCAAATTAATTCAAGTGTTAGATGATACAGTATATTTTGTGGTTCTACATAAAAATCTAGCTTTTAATATTCAGTGCTATTCATCGTCGTGTATTTCATATGATCTTGAAATTGCCATATATAAAATTCAATTTTCTTTACACAGCATTTTTTGTCCTCAAGAAAATACTGAAGAAGCCCTGTTGTTACTGCTGATTAGTGAATCGATGGTAAGTAGAATGTGCTTTCAAATTCTTCTGCACCCCCTTTTCCTACAGTCCTGTGTTTTTTTTTTAAAGATTTTATTTATTTATTTATTTGACAGAGCGAGATCACAAGTAGACAGAGAGGCAGACAAAGAGAGAGAGAGAGGGTAGCAGGCTCCCTGCTGAGCAGAGAGCCCGATGTGGGACTTGATCCCAGCACCCTGAGATCATGACCTGAGCCGAAGGCAGTGGCTTAATCCACTGAGCCACCCAGGCACCCTACAGTCCTGTTTTTGATATGGTCACTCCATCAGTACAGTGGCTATTTTACTTGGGAAAAGAATACTTTCTAGAGGGGATACCTGGGTTGGGGGAGGGAAGGAACAACAGGGATTTAAGAAGAGGGATGTTTCTTTTTTTTTTTTTTTTTTAAGATTTTTATTTATTTGTTTGACAGAGATCACAAATAGGCAGAGAGGCAGGCAGAGAGAGAGAGAGAGAGGAGGAAGCAGGCTCTGAGCCCGAGGTGGGGCTCAATCCCAGGACCCTGGGATCATGACCTGAGCCAAAGGCAGAGGCTTTAACCCACTGAGCCACCCAGGCGCCCCAAAGAAGAGAGATGTTTCTTAATTCTTGGGCTAGTTAGAGGTGTCCCTTATAGGTTAATCTCAGCCTGGAGCATGGAGCTTCTCTTAGGCAAGCCGTTATAGGCATCTGAGTTCATTCATTTGCCTACTGATTACTGATAGGACACAAACACGATTGCGGATAGGTAAACTATAGCTGAAAGGAAGACCAGAGGAATGCTGAGAAGGGAAGGAAGTCCCCCCAGGGTAACCTTTCCAAGCCACCTCAACTTGCCAGGGGTGGGGGGAGGGAGAGTTTAGGGATAAATCAGTGGGTGGTGGCCGCAAACCTCTGGTTTTGGTAGCAGGAGCTGGATAAGCAGCTTCAACCTCCTGGGTAGGCCTCCCGCTTGCCCCCAGGCAGTCCGGAATCCCCCGCTGTGAGAGGGAGCTCCCGTTCCCTGGCTCTGCTGTCTTGAGGGAGTCTTTGCAAGGCCATCGGATTCCCTTGAAATGTTTTGTTAATGTCTGGCCAGGCTATCAAAGTTTATGTCTAGAATTTCATTCCTCACCATTTATTGGGTTTCTGCTCTGCGTGGTGCTAGGCATGACTGCCCAGGCTTGAAGCTGTGGGAGGCAATCTGTGTCACAGTCGTCGGTCCCTTGGCATGTAAGTGGTGTTTGCTGAGCACCTGGACAGGACGGCGAGGCTCCTGGAACTGGGAAGGACCTAGATGTCCTCATACCCATTCCCTCATACAATGAGTAGGGAACCTGAGGACCAGAGCAGGCAAAACGGATGCATCCTGCAGTGGTCTGTTGCTCTTTCTAGATCACACTGCCTCCTCCCATGTCTCCCACCTCACCAGGCAGGCAGGAGGAGAAGGAGGAGGAACAGGAATCGTGACCGAAGCAAGAGGAGGTATTTGCCTTCTCCCCCAAGCAGGTGGTTTCAGTGGAGGCATGAAACACACCCAGCTGAAGTGGATTTAGAAATGGAGCCCAAGAAGAATGCCCGATGGGCTGAGTGAAGGAGGGATCTGGAGAGGCTGGGATTAGTCAGGGAGGCTTGCATTCTTGCCTTAATTTCAAGCCCTGCGTTTTCTTGTTCTGCAAAATGGCCCAGAGATGTTTACAAGAGCAAGACTGCTTGAGTTACCACTGCTTTTTTATTTGGAACCTCTTTGACGTCATTGGCCTTACTTCCTCTGAAGGAAACAGGTTGCCCCCCTTGACTCATCTTTCCTTGACTGTCAGCTGGTAACTCAGAACGGTGTCATTTACATTCTCTACTTTGCCTTGGCACGGCCGGGGAAGGCATATATGTGAACAGGCTGGCACCTGGTGGCATTTGGTAACTGTTTTTCAAATGAGCCGGTCTCACCATGCTTTGCCATCAGTTCTTTGGTGGGGGCGACCCCCTCAACATGTTGGCCCCCTAGCTCATGTTCCCTCATTCTGAGGGGGACTCCTCACAGCTTGGCAGTGAGTTTCCTTCGGGCACACCTGGTTGGTTATGTTGGGAAAGTTATGAAGGAGTAGCGACCACACATTTTTTATTTCTTGGACAATTCTAATCGAAAATATTGTGTTCCATTGTCAGATCATGTGTTCCCATTTAGAATTTGGAAAACAGAGCCACATCTCTAAAATGCTTGCTCCAAGTGTAGATGTCTTGGGAATGATGTCTCCACCTTTCCTGCTCCTTAATTGAAATGATAGAAACTAATAATACTCAAAATTGAGATCCCTTTGAGACCATCAGATGTGGCTCTGTGGTATTTAATTTCTGGAAACTCTCTTCAGAGGATGGTGAAACCCAATGACATCATCAGTAAATATGAAGGTCTGGGTTTCCAACCAAAATGATTATGTTCTCCCTGTAAATTGTTCCATAATTATGTAGGTAGAAGTCTAAACTAAGTTCCTTTTGGAAGCCTCTTTCATGTTTCTTGACTTCTTGATTTTTCAGTTTTTAGACAGAAAATGGACGTGCTCAATTTCAGAACCAAATGAGAATTACTGTGTTTTTTTTGTTGTCTGAGAAAATTGTTTTCTTCGTTGGTTCTGACTTTAAATTAGAAACATCTGTCTGTCCATAATCTCTCCACCTGTAAGATATGGTTTGGCGTTGTACTGCTTTCTCACCTCAAATCAAATGCATTTTCCCCAGGAGAAAGGGCTTATCAGAACTACATTTGCACAACTACCTCTGAGACAGTGTTCTGAGATATTTCTTATTTGTGGATCTGTTTGAGGTTCGAATCAAAAGACACCAATCTTAAAAAAATGTACTTGGCATAACTCAAAAATCTCTCTTAAGTAGTATTTTGTTTTGTTTTGTTCTCTTCCAGGCCTTGGTCCTAATACGGAACATTTTTAGCAAGTAAATAAAATGAGGCTCCTTACAGCAGCCCCTGTTTCCCTTAGAGCTTCCTTTGTTGGCTCAAAGTCGCTCCTCACAAGAAAGCCTTAGAATGAAATCTTCAAAAGCAGGCTTGTATCTGTAAGAGATGACTCACTTGGTAGGAAGTGGCCTGTCATATATTCTTATTTGTCTTTGACATTTTAGAGCAAGGAGTTTTAAAGTGACTAAGTACGGATAGATGGCTAAAAGTGAGTGGCTTGGACTCACACACACAGAGAAGGCATTTCGTCTCATTAGTGAGGGAGAAGGTGTGTAGGTGTGTCAGCCGTCACCCTGCCTGGACCAGGGACCCTGGTGCCTCACCTACCACTTGCACAGGAAAAACTGAGGGGCCCTTTCTCTCCTCCTAGGGATGGATGATTCTGGAAGCTTCTGGTAGTGAGCAGGGGGAGGAAAGACAGGCAAACTCTAACTTAATTGATTCTGAACTCCCTAGTAGGGAAGGATGGAAAATGGTTAGAGTTGTTTAGTGGCCCTAATACATGTGATATGTCTGGAGACTCCCTAGAGAAATTAAATTTCAAAAAGCAATGAAAGCACGTTGTTGTAAAGAGCATTTGATTTCTAGATAGATGAGATTAATAAGCTCGAATGTGCCTGCTGTATTTCTGCAGCAAGCTGTGGAGATATGCAAGAGGCAAGGTGTTCTCCTGAGTCCTCTGGTAATATCTTTTAAAACAAAACTCAGTCTGCTTCTTGCTTTCTCTTCTACAGCTGTTCTGTGCTTCCCTAAACAGGATTGCATTAGTCTTTGTAGTCTGTTCCAATGAAGGTGCCATAGAGGGATCTGAATGTTGCTTTCATGACAGAGAAAAAGTACGACACGTCCCTGCAGGACTGAGGGAACTTAATGGCACCGTGTGATGGTGGGAGTATGGGGCTAGGGATGTTCCCTCTGCTGTGTAACGCAGAGCAGGAGCTGCACGGACAGGCAAGACACGACAGCGCCCCTGCCCCGGTGTGTGAGTCTGCCACCCCAGAGCACTGGCGGTGCCTGCAGCAGAGCTGGCTGGTGGGCCCGAGCCCAGGAGCCATCACCATGCTTGCATCAGCTCCTAAAGCCCCCTGCAACCGCCAGCTAACGGGTCCCGAGGGTCCTCTGGCTCCACACCTCCAGGCCTTTGTGTTTGGCTAATACCTCGTACTGCGTGCTGCCGGGCTCGGGGCATTCTGAGTAAACAAGCCAAGGTGACAAGCCCCTTACTTGCTCCTGCCCTTGTCTCCAGGCCCTTGGCAAGCCGAGAGGGGCAGGAGGGCCTAGATGGCTTCTCTGTGCATGATAGCTGTGTGCATGGACTAACTCACCAGCTGCTCCTCTCGTCTTCTGTGTTGTTTTCAGGCCAACCGGGATGCTGTGCTGAGCAGAACACCCGAGCACAAGAGTGACCGCCTCATCAGCTTGCAGAGTGCCTCGGTGGTCTATGACCTACTGACCATTGCCCTTGGAAGAAGAGGCCAGTATGAGATGCTGTCGGAGGTAGAGCCCTTGAGTCTGGTACTTCCCAGTTGTGGGGGGGGCGGTGCTAGCCAAAGCAACACTGAGAAGAGCTATGAGACCAGGTCCTGACCCCTCTGTCCCTGGCAGCCATGTGACCTTGGCCCGTATCTTAACTCTGTGAAATGGGAATTGGGTTAAATGATTGGATCATGGAATTCACTGGTGGCGACTTCCTAGCAGTGGCCCCCAAACCCACTGAGTTTGTGTGTGAGGGAAGGCAAGCATTTCTCAAGCGGCTTCTCTTGCACGGTAATTTCTACCATCACCCCAAATCTCCCATCTGTGATCCTAATTTCCTTAGAAAGCCGGTTTTACTCTGTTTAAAACATGGATGCGTAACTCCAGGTAAAATGGCCCTGTTAGGCACGTGATTGTCAGGTGAGTGGGTGTCATCTCTCGTGTCAAGAAACACAGTTTTCACTTAAAGACTTTTGCTTGTTCAAAAGAGACCCGAGTTGATTACAGATCTTGTGCAAGGTCCTGTCATTTTGTTCCTTCAGCTTCTGAAAAACATTGAGAATGGAAGCTTGACTGTTAACACAGTTTTCAGAAGAAGCTAGTTAACCTCGGGCTGCGGTCATGCGTTACTGAGCAGTAGCCCAGAAGTTCAGATTCCACCCGGGCAAGGACTGAATGAGTGCCACGATCGGCTTATTCTTTCTTTAGTGGAGAAGGAAGGAAGGAAGAGAGAGAGAGAGAATGAGGAAGGAAGGACGGAAACAGGGAAACAACTCATTTTGTTAAAGTGGACTTTTCCATGTTATTTTACTTTTTCTTTCTAAATTTATACACACCGCAGCAGCCTCTGGGCCTGGGGACAGGGATTGAAACATAGTAACACATTGGCTGGAATCAGATGAGCTCCAGGCTCACCCTCTAGCCTGCTGTTGTGACGCTGCCACACAAGGCAGGAGCCTTGGAGGACAGATGAGCCTGCATGGCTCGGGTCTTTTTTTAGTCTTTGGTTTGGTGACTGTACAGGGCAGTGGTTACTCAGGCTTCAAAAAAAGCCCCTTGCAGTCTGGCTAGATAAAGCAGTGTGCCCAATGCTCCTGTCACATGCGGCTCATCCCCTGGGACCCTCTCCGGATTCTTCCCCGCTCCATGTGCTTCGGTTTCCCGGGACTCTCCCCTCCCAGCCAACTTAGTGCCTGTCTGCTGTGTCCACTGCGGAGCCCCTCCGTAGGGACAGTGCCACCCAGCTCCCAGTTGAGTCCTTTTCCGGTGAACTTTTTTTCCTCCAGACAAACCACTAAAGAAAGCATCTCTCTGGGTCCGAGGCTGGTTGTGGTTGGCATGTCTCCTTTCATCCCATCATGTAGCAATCTGGCCTTTCCTCAGCTTGAACTTCACCGACGTCAGGAACAGGTGTGAGGAGGTTGGGGCGGCTGGCATGGTTGGCTGGCTGGATGGCTCCTGCCCACAGGCTTCTCGTCATGCCATGAATGGCTGTAGGGGGACGGCTGTCACCTTAGCAGCATTCCTCTGCAAGCCTGTCGCACGCCTCCTTCCAGCACCAAATACTGGGGCCTCATTTTCACTCCGGTGACTTTTGTCCTGGTATCACACATAGCTTCCATCTTGTGGCAATGACCTGATGCCCGAGTCACTAGGTGGTCCGATCCGGTTGCCAGAGCTTTGGCGATTCAGAATTTCACTGCACTGGTCACATTTAAAGCAATGAGGACAGGGCCAGAGGGTGCCTCATCAGTGAGGGAGTACAAGGGTGGGAGAAAGGGAAATTTACCACTATATGTTCCTTGAAGGATTTTATACCATGTGTGTGTATTATCTATTAAATATATAAATCAGTTGATAAGACAGAGACAATGGAGGACATTGATTTCCATAATACACATATATGGGGTCCCCTGTACTGAGCCAGAGGCTGTGATTAAGGCCGGGATTCAGCCATGTGCGAGGCACGGTCCCTGTCATGAGCACCCCCCCACCCCACCCCCCACGCAGTGGGAGGCAGCCAGGCTGCGGCAGCTGTCGTCTGATGTTTCTGGTGCTGGGGAGAGCAGGGCCTGCTTCCAGTAGTGAGGCCTTTGAATACACGGCTCCAGCCTTTCTTGCTGTTTCTACTTAGTTTTGCAGTTGGAGCTGCCCCCAGCAAACATTTGATGGCCATGTCGTCTCAGGTCTTTTAACTAAAACAGGCCCTATCTAGGAGAAAGCACCTGACATCTGGGTGTTCAGTTTCGGAAGGTCCAGCCTTGCCTGAGCACAGACCCTCTCTCCCCTGGCCCCAGGCCTAGGATCCTGCTTCCTTCATTTCCTGGGATTTTCTTCTTCTTCTTTCTCTTTTCTTCTCATCTGCCCTTCCATCTTCTCAGGGCTCTAGGCTAAAAGGCTAACTGTATTGTTTCTTAATTGGGGTAAATTCCCGTAACATAAAGGTAACCATTTAAAAGTGTATAATTCAGTGGCATTTGGTACATTCACTGCTATGCCAGCCTCACTTCTATCAAGTCCTAGAAGGAAACCCCATCCCGAGTAAGCAGTTATCCTCCATCCTGCTCCCCCAGTCCCTGTCCACTACCAATCTTTTTTCTGACTATGGATTTACTCATCTGGGGTATTTCCTATAACTGGAACCATCCAGTAAGGCACCTTGGATATCTGGCTTTTCTCAGAGTAATGTTTTCAAGGTCACCCATGCTGTAGCCCATATCAGAACTTTATTCCTTCTTGCAGTTGAACAATATCCCGTTGTGTAGATCTAGCACGATTTGTTCACCCGGTTATCCAGTGGTGGGCATTTGACTCTGGTGAGTCGTGCTGCTATGGGGGCAGCTGGATTTTAAACTTCCTGTACTACTTCTGGGGACCCCGTGAGTGTTAGTGATTACCGCTGCTGTCATTCATCGTGGTAGTGTATGGTCTGTGTCTTCTTCACCTCCTACATTGTCGCCAAAGCAACCTTTCTAAGACACAGTAGTGTCATGCCACCCTTCTGTGCAGAAACATTTGATGGCTCTTCCCATCCCCCCCGCTTTTTACTTCGTTTGTCTTGTATTCCTTTTCCTCCCATCAGGAAAGTGACTTCCTCAATTATCTTTTTTGCAATATGCAGCACCTTGCAGATTCCTTGAAGCATCAAACAACACAGACAAGTATAGAAAAGGAAATAAAAGTCACTTAGAGTCCTGACCTCCTGAGATTGACCACCCATTGACATTGTAGAGACCGTCTTTTCTTGTATCTCTTTATGAGTAAATGCATGTACATTTATGTAAGTTTCAAGGAATGGGATACTGTCATATATGTATTATTGTAGGTGTTCCCACCCATTCTTCTCCCCTCCATTGGCACTCCACCCTAACTCTGTCTCCTTAGACCCCAGACCCAGGTCAGCAACCTCGTATGTCCTGGGCCCAGGCCTTTGTGTCTGGAAGGTTGGGTTTGGGTCCTGGGTCTGCCACTCCCAGATTACAGTTGGGTGATCCTGGCAAGTCATTAATCCCTTATGTCTTGGTTTTTCCTTCTGTAAAATGGGGACAGTAACCATACCTATCTCAGATCATTGTGAGGCTATTTATTAAACCATGTAAGGTGCTCAGAGCAGAGCCCTGCACCTACTACATGATAATAAGTGGAGTTTATTAAATGGTAGCTGTGTGTTGCTGTGCTGTTCCCACCACCGTATACCCAGGAGTGGCCAGGCACAGGAGAAGTAACAGTGTGTATAGAAAAAGGTCTTTTGGCGTCTAGAAACTTCGAGTCTAGTTCAGGAGATCAAACAGAAAGACACAAAAAGACAACTGATCAGAGAAGACTGGTAAGTTCAAGGCATGTTCCTTGCAGGTGAGCGGACTGGGTGGGTTGCAGCCATGTTTGGAGGTGGGGGTGCCCGTGAGAGAGTAGGAACAGCTGGTACATCAAGGGCTGATAGGAATTTAAAAAGTCTCAGAGCAGAGAGACTCATCCTCAAGACTGTGGGGGTAAAGGGCATAGGCCTGAGGATCCAGGAGCCAAGAGCTTGCTCTCGTGGAGGAGAAATAGGACAGGACACCGAACCGAAAGTGCGGGGCCAGGTTGTCAGCCCCCCAACATCTTGGGACAGACTGCTTGTGCCCCTTACTGACAGGCTCCTGCCATATCCCCCTTTGGCTGATCTGCGAGCAGGTCCTCCCAGCCTCAGCGACGCTACACAGATCTTTTATACCAGCTGGAAATTTTTATAAACAGAATTTAACAACAACCAGGCTATTGGGAGAGAAGACCCCTTACCTCCTCCCCCTGCCTCAGACTTTCCTGCCTTCTCTTGTCCCCAACCACCGACGCTCCACATCAGACACGGCCCATTCTCCTTCTGCTGGCTCGCCTCGCCGGCTGAGCTGAGCCCCTCAGCACTTCCACACTGATAGGGGAAAGGACGGGGTGCTTCTGCCGCGGTGCCCAGCCTGTCTTTTCATCTGCTCTCCCCCTTTCGCTGACACTTCTGCTCTGTCCTGTGGCACGGTGTAGACCCAGCCTTTTAGGAACTGTGCCTTTGCAGGGGAGCAGAGCCACTCTCGCGAGAAAACTGTCCTCTCTGTCTGTTTCTTCAGTTGTATTTATTCCAGATGGACAGTTCCTCTCCCAGCCCAAGCTTGGCTGCCCTCATGGGTGCCCACAGAACACCTTTCTTCTTTTCAGGGCACTGCGCGGTCAGATACTGGGCCAGGACCATAGTACAAAGGAAATACAAACCAGAGGTTATTACATCCTTATTCTGACAGGTTTAAATATAAGCACGATGTTTACCATATCTCCAGTGCGACGAGTTTTCGTGTTTTTAAAAGACTAATTGTGAGCCTCGCTGAAAGGTCTGTGTAGGAAGGAACACTTCTTTCTTCCCCCTTCAATTTAAACAGCAGCACTAGTTGGCATGACAACCCGTGCTATTAAAAGTAAAGCAACAAGCCTTGCTTCCTCTGTTTTTCAGAATGAACCCAAACTGCTAAGTAGGTTTGTTTCTTGAATTTGACTAT